AAAGTGGATTACAGTGGTGCAGCAAGAAGGGAATTTGATCAAAAAGAGGAAATCAGTCATTCAGTCTTGGGGAAAGAGGAGAAAACAGAAGGCAAAGCAAGGCAAAAGGCAAGGCAAAGCGAGACAAGGAAAGGTATAAAACTGTCAATGAATATTTTGGCTTTATACGCGTACACAAAAGTACACACAAAAGCTTAAGATCACAATTCAGCAAGCATACTGTCCACCCATCTCAATTCACATGCAAATCATCATCTCTAGGCTGCTCCCAGCATGACATTGGCTAGAAGATCTGAGAAGGTGACAGATGGAGTGTACCAAGGAGTTCAGAAATAGCATGAGGTTTTCAGATGGGAGGACACTAGCATAAACAAGTGTGTGTCTTTTTTTCCAGCAGATTTTAAGCATTGACATGTGTTATTCAGACATTAAACAAGTAGAAGCTTTGAGCATAGGCAACATAATACATGAAGTGAGCTAAGTTACAGAGTCTCCAGGCCAAGTTTTGAGGGACTGGGACAGACCAAATGTTTGTGAGCGAACAGATACCACCTGGCCGTACCCAAGCACCCTACAGGCAGCCAAAATTTCAGTGAGACAAAGCTAGGGAGGGAGATGAGAGTAAGATTTTGAGTGATCAACTCAACAGAGAAGTTGCCTTTGTACTACTGAGAGCTGACCTATGGGGACAGCCAGACCCTCAATAGATCCTACCAGGAAAACAGAAATCAACTTGGCAGCAGGATTTCCAGACCGGAAAAAAAAAAAAGAAAAACCACCAAAACCAAAACAACGTCACATTCTGTTACCCAGAGGAAAGAGTAGCTCCTGGTGCACCAGAGGAAAGGAAAGAGACTGCCCCGTGCCTGTCTGTCCAATTTTTACAGTCACTGCCATGGGAAATGCTAAAAAACTTTCACGGCCCTGAATGCATTGACAGGATCTGCAACACTCTCCCTTCCCCAGCCCTGGATTTGGGTCATTGTGTTCAAGGTCATCTCCAACACGGTGCAGATCATAGAATCACAGAATGGTAGGGGTTGGAAGGGACCTCTGGGGATCACCTAGTCCAACCCCCTTGCCAAAGCAGGGTCACCCACAGGAGGCTGCACAGGACCTTGTCCAGGCAGGTCTTGAATATCTCCAGAGAAGGAGAATCCACAAACCCTCTGGGCAGCCTGCTCCTGTGCTCCGTCACCCTCAGAGTAAAGTTCTTCTTCACGTTCAGGTGGAACATCCTGTGCTTCAGTTTGTGACCCTGTGCTTCAGATATGTAACCCTGATTCAGCCCAGGAAAACAGCTATGGTGTGAGGAACAACCTCATCAGGACCTCTGTCCCCCTTCTTTGCTCAGCAGCTGCATTTCAGCTCTGCCCCTTACTCTGAGCTCCTGCTTGAGCTATTCTGCTGGGCATTACCTTGCTGACCATGACCTTGCCTTGCTGACCCAACCTTGCCTTGCTGACCTGACTTCCTAGTTGATCATCAACCTGCCTCACTGCTATGGACTTGTCTGGAAATCACTGGAGTGTTGGCTGAACCTGGTTACATGGATGGACCTGTTTTGTTCTTCTCAGTCAGGTGAGGCTCCCCACTTGTGAGACCACTGCCCTTCTTGACTTGTTGACCCCTCGGCTTCTATCTCAGTTTCCTTTGTGAAGCAGCCCACTCCTGATGCTCTCTGTCAAAAGCAATAATAAAACAGTAAAACGACAAGCCAGCTACTTCAGCTCGGGACAATCTGTCCCGAGATCCACAGAGAACTGTTTGAGTGGGTAGCTACTGTGTTACTACCCAAAACATTCCTTCTGTGCTTGCCTCTGAAGGTCCTCTTCTCCTTCCACTGTATTTGCAGCAAGACCCACCTCCAAGTTCTGAAAGCTTAGTAAGCAACTGTTTCACACAATCTTTCTTGAATCAAGCATCAGAGTAATGTAAGGCAAAAAGCCAGCCTCCTTACAATAACCAAGAAATAACAGGTCTACTTTCAAGCAGTTAATTCTTTGAATAAGCGTTTCCTGTTTGTAAAGTACCTCTGAAACCATCGACAGGTGAAATTTAGGCTGTCCAAGTTTGGACCATAAAGTTTTGGACCTACCAAGAGCAGAAAATCACATGCTAAGTGGTGGTGTGCCTGGAAATTCACAACAGGAGGAAGGACAGAGAAGAGTTCAAGGTGAGCCATTTGACCAGGAGAAAGGCTATAGATCAAGGTTATTTTCTGTGGTGCCCTCCCTCTCCTCTTCTCTTGAAAACACTTACATAGAAGGATAGCATAACTATCAATCAGTTTATGCTATCCACCAGATCATCAGATAGCACTATTGACCTGTATGTTTTACGTTGTAAAATCAATAAAAGAAAGAAAAAGAAATGGCAAGAAAAATAGCAGCACGAAAATCAGAGCTGCTAAGGACACTATTTCTCAGGCTATCTTTGTTTGTATATTCACATTGAGTGGTATAACACAACTCTTACAATTTCGCCACAGATTAAAACTTCACTGGATGACAATGTTCTCAAAAAGTACGCAGTCCTGACATTTAGGAACTTCAGAGTAGACATTAAAGCAATACCGAACTTCAAATTACAGGTTCAACTTGCGGAACAGAACTGTTACACAGAAATATGGATGAATCACACTCGTCCTGGATATAATGGAAACAGGCATTTGCATGATGGTGATCACTGACTTCAGTGGAAGCACAGGCATTTATACCAGCTGAGTGCCCAGCCTTGGTATACACCAAGATACAGTAAACACAATTTCATACCTGGAGCCTTTGTGAGCATGGACCAACGTCTTGGTCCTCAGCTGCCGCGCTATGGGGATGTGTCAGCTGAGAATCTCAGCCCATGTCTTTGGTCTGAGCACAACCCAAACTAGATTATACTCCTGTATTTCTGGCAAATGACTCTTAATTTCCTAATCCTCTTGACTATAACCATTGCGAATGGTTTCTACAGCGCTGCTGAATGAGGGCCTTATCCAGAAGCCTTTACTCATGCAGAGATAACAGATCTACTTCCGAGAGGAAGGTGTAAAAACAGACTTCAGATGCAGGTCCAACATCAGACATTAAAGGGTATAATTTGTCATTTTTTACATTATTGAGAATATTTGTGCAGGATCTATAATTAAAACTAAAAGAGATGTCTCCTCCTTTTGCCAGCAGCTGTGTTACATCAATTAAATGGGTAAATAAGATCTTTCCCCAGAGGGGATACCACGTGACCCTCTATTGATTAAGACTGCAGTAGAACGTTATTTGCAATCTTATTGCATAATGGAAATCAGGAGGTAGCTGTCATGGTTTCAGAAGACAAATTGCCGCTATCTTAGACAATTCATAGGCCTCTTTCCTTCTTGCAGCTCTTAATTCACAGTTAATGCATGTCTTACAGGGCTTAGTTTCTCAAATCAGTCTACAGCACTGTATTCAACTCAAAACTGGATGTAAGCGGTAGTCTATGCGGCCCTGCATTATGATGGGTATTAAAGTGACCGTTCCATCTATCATTACTTCAGAACCACACGTCATTTAATAGGGTAACACAACTTCATAAAAGGATGAGAAATTAAAAATAGACACCTCCTGCAGCATGCATGATTATTCCCAGCAAGACATGCCTCCCCTACCAGGCACGGTTCCAGAGGTGCTCTCCATATAGAACATTTTCAAGTCTTAGTTCAGTTTTCTGTACCTGATTTGCACAAGCAAAACATATGGCTGGAACAAGTCCACCACTCTCAAACCTGTGCAGTAACTGCAGTTAGGGATCAGTTTGAAGACTGTAATGAACACCTGACCACAACTCAGCAGACACTTTACTCCTCCACTGAACTGTAAATCCATCATTATGCCCTCTGTGGGAGAACCGGAGGGAAGGACGAAAATCTCCCTTTAAATGATTGAAACACGCTTTGCCAATTTGAGAAATCTCCAAAGAAAAAGCCAGCCTTTACTTACTTCTAATCAATCTCTCAGTCACAACAATTAGAAAACAAGTGCAACGCTTTTTGAAGTAGATCACAGCAATATTTAACATTACCAGAACCTTCCCCACCAAAGTCAAAGAAACGGTCTTTAAGTGGTCTTCAGTGGTTGTGAAGCTGTAGGACATACGGCAAGATTTCTGAATGGAAGGAACTAGTCTGAATAACAGTGGGCAGTAGGACAATAATAGATTCAGACAAAAGTGACAGTCATTCCATGTGTAGAAAAAAGTGCTCAACTTACCATCAGGTCAGCCATCACACAGGATTAAAAATTAAATGTCTGCTGCCTGATCTGTTCCAGCTAAGTTGATTGAATAGAATGTGTTCATCTTCCCGTCTAATTTAGCAAGTTTAAAAGTGGCATGTTTACTTTTCTATTATTTGTAGTGCCAGAGTTTAATAAAGTACATGGAAGGAAATGCCAGTAGAACTGCTGTCCAAAAGTAATCTCTCACAAAGTGATAACAAAGTCTGGAAAAAATTATCACCTCATAAAAAATATGGAGGAGGTTAAGATTTCAAGGAAATCAAAGATATTTCAGAACCCTTCAATTGGCTAGACATGCACATCAATAGCACTAGATTGTTACTGGCACATCTTCCTATTTAGGGAAATTATCTGATCCTCCTACAAATGGATTTGTGTTTAAACCTTATATTTCATTTTCCTGGAAATCTGGGAAATCAATGTCAACCTAGTCTTGATGAGCATAAATGCTCAATATGGAGCAAATGTCAGCAGCAAAAAAACAAGGATACAAATCCCTAAAGAACTAAAATGTATTCTGGTTGCTCAGAACTTCAAAAGAGGCATTTGGCACCTTAAATCAGGGTCTGCAATCATTGCGCTTTTTTTTTCTTTCTCTTTGCTTTGAAAAGGCAAGCCAGTCATTACAGATTTCTGACTGAAAAAGTCCTTCCTTTTTCGAAGGTAACACAACACAACCAGCTCACTTTTTTCATTGTGCTTGAAATTTAAAGGATAGAAAATATTCCTTACCTTAAAAAGTCTTAAAATATTTGCGACCATAATGGATACAGAACTTGCTGCAGCACCTATCACACCTGATATCTTGTCTGGCTTAGTGAAAATAGGTGGGTCACCGTTAGCACACTTCACGTCTGAGCCATCTTTTTCTATCAATGCTTGCACAAATGTTAAGGACTGCTCCAATGCATAAGTGTCCCTGGAACACGTATCAAGGATCCGGACACCTAAGGTGATATTGGCAAGAAGATCAGGGTCTTTATTAATCTGATCAATTGCATACAGCATGGCCTCTAGCCTGTGGATCCCCTTCTCCTTCTTGAGCTCCCCACAAGGCACCCCTCTATCCCCTTTTGCATGGACGGGGAACAGTCCTCCCAAGATGATGTCCCCATCCAGTCGGATGGAGTGGGCATATTCCTGGCCATGAGTTCTTTGCATCAGGGTGAGTATCCAGTAGAATTTGACTGTTAACAGGAAGAAACAATGGCAGGAAACTAACCGTTTTCCTTCGTTTACCATTTTCTCTGAAGACGTTGTTGCTATCCAGTATCCAGATTTTCTTCTTGCTAAAGGATGAGGTTGACCATTTGAAGCTGCACTTTCTGGAGGCTACCATCAGTGCCCAGTAAGTAATATAGAACCATGCGGTAGGTAGAAAAAGGATCTCAGCAGAAGAACATAAAATGCGTTTTACAAAAGATGTCCACTGATGTCATGGATTGATCAGCTTTTCTGAGAGGTGGTTTTCAATTGCTCTTAACTGATGGTGAAGTGTCGGGTAGTATGACTGGTCCTGATGCCAAGAGGAGGTCAGTAGCTTATGTCCTTGTATTTTGCTCTGCAGCTGAGATACTTCTGGGGAAAAAAAAAAAAAAGCAAACAGTGAGAAATACCATTTAGTTCAGCAGTTTTATACCTGTCACACAGCGTATTTACTTTTGAATGTGAGTTACATCGGCTCAGTTTTACTTTTGCTATTCTGTAAGGGAGTAATTCTTGCCCTTCTGTGAATTTGAACACCTGGCTGCACTGTACTACAAGCCGGGAAACTGATGATACCAGCAGAGCAAAAGTCAAATCAGGGGAACGAAACTTCTCCTGCTGTTCAGATTCCGACTGGTAATTCGTATTTACTTTTGCATTGCATGACATCCAGAAACAGATTTGATCCATAACACGTTGTATTTTCTCTTTTGCTGTATCATTCTGTTCCAGCCTACAGAAGTGCGATAACTAACTACACTCACGCTCGTGGAGAGGTTCCATTTACGACAATGGAGTAATCAGGGCTCCTGAATTTAAGTATGCTCTTCAGCTTGCAGTACAAGCACAGTCAATTCATTTGGATATTAAACTGATTATTTCTCCAGTGGAATTCATTTTTTTCTGGGCTTACTATACGTCTAAAACGCCTTCCAGATAATTTCTAACACTAAATTACTTTTCTGAAAAGGTAGCTGATTTCTTAAGCAGAAAGAGCACAATGCATTCTGTTAGGAAACCAGCTGAACATCCAGTATTCCCTTTCTGACATTTTACTTGAGCTGAGGTCCAACATTAACCAGGTCTCTATTCTCTGCTTGCATTTGGACCACATTAAATAGGAACAATGTTGTGCCCACACTGACAGCTGGAGAAGTCCCACTGATTTTAATGAGATCAGGATTTCAGCCTACATATCTAAACACCTGACTGACTCTTCCAAATACCTCCAAATTGCCCCCACCTTAATTCTCCAATGAGTGGCATTTATTTATTTCAATATTTAACAAAATTACACATGCCTGAATAACTTTTTAGACCTCTGAGGAGAAGAGAGAGAGAATTAATTTTACCTACTACTAGACAGGCACGCTGTGGACAACTGCATTTGAGTCAGTCTCTCAAGGCACCTTTTACAGTCTGTAAGGAGCAGTGGGCATCCTAGGGTGCAACTCACCTGATCCTTTTCTTTAAAAAAGCTTTATTTATTATGAAATCGATTACATTGAACAAGTGCCTACCTCACTGCCTATACAGAAAATGCAGGCAACAGGCTCATCTGTAGATGTGCACTTTGTCACTAGTGATCTGACTGGTTCCTACCAAAAGTATGATCACATTAGAAGACAATTATGGACAAAACTAGAAGACAGTTATAGACAACCATACCATCCTTCACAGACATTTTGAATTATTTTCCACCAGATTTCTTATATGTTATGTGGTAACAAAACTCAAGATGTGGTTTGATAACGCTTTAAATTGATCATCATCTTCTTACATTTAGTTACTTGTTTTTCCTCAAACGATAATACTAAGCTCATGAAAACTGAAGAAGCGCTTTTAAGCACCGGCTATTTGAAGATCTGAGAAAAAGATGCACAATGGCAAGTCATCTATAGGATGTAAAGGTATCACACTGTGATTTGGTAACAGAGCAACGACTTGAAAAAGAAACATGTTTAATGGGTGTGAATAAAATCATTGCAACTGAGAACAGCAGCGCACAGGACTTTCAGTGTGTCCTGGGTTTGGCCAGAACAGGGTTAATTTTCACCGGACTCCAGGAAGGGGCACAGCCGGGGGGTGGGGGCTGACCCCACCTGGCCAAACAGAGCCCGGTATTCCATACCATGTGACGTCACGCGGGGTTCCGGTGGGGGGGGGCGGCGCGGCGCGGCGGGGAGGCAATCCGACACCCAG